GTGACACAAAGATAAAAAGTATATTATAGTTAGTCAACAAGGAGGGTGTGGTGTACAAAGGCGCATATTATGCTACGCTAATATCCGTTTTGTTGTATTTAAAGTATAGTACCTATACATAGTCAGGTTCTTACCAGATGTTAAGAGCCCTCGAAGGCATGCAACTCTCTCCTCATCATTTTCACAGCTCGTAAGCGCTTCTATTGTATCATTTTTACGATCAGGGTTATTTATGAAAAAGGTACGAAGTGAGGTCCTTTCTTCACTAGTCAATTGTTGAAAACCGGAAATTAGTGTGAATATAGAGGTTGCCATTTCCGCATGTTTATCTGCTGTTGAAAAAAAAACAAAGGTACAGTTAGGCAGTTAGAAACCCCACCACAACTCTGTGACTGTGGTTTTCCTCCACGAATGGGATTCTGCCACATTAGAATGGTACTTACGTGTGACTGAGGAAATGCGTGTAGTATATATTTGTGAAAAAAGGAAAAAAATAAGTTTGCAAAAAAAAAAAAAGATTGTACAACCCTGTCTTAAAAATCATATCCAAACAGCATAGTGGAATTTCGTAATTATCACGAATGTGACTTAAAATGCCGATCTTTTTTATATTGTGTAATGGTAATTTTAAAGTACTTTTCAATTGGATGTTTGACCTCAATGTGACGTAAAAACTTTTTATCAAAATTGTCAAACCAACTTTATAGCCGTATTCTTCATATTTTTTTATATTACCAACTTTCTTCCATCATTTTCCATCACTTTCCTGGAGAAGTTAGCTAAGAACCAAAGTTTATAAGAAAGTAATAGTTAAAGAATATATAATACTGATATACATTAATTTTGGCGACTTTTAACCCATTATAATGAGTATTTGTTTTTTTATCATATTATTCAAAAACATCAACAAGGTATTTGTTTCATTAATATTGATATTAATATTAAAATATTTATTGTATTTATTATTTTTGATATCAATACATTTCAAGATCAATAAATTTAATAAATTTATTTATTATATATTTATTATAGGGAGGCGTTTTTAAGATTTTACACATATTAATTACTTTTTTTCAAATCCTTGGGTAATATTATTCATGCTTGGTTAATAAAATCCTCACAAATAAATATTATATGGTTGGCTCGGTCTAAAGACCTCCTATTTCTGCGCCACGTGGCCAAATTTCAAAAATAGCAAAATGCAATAAAATTTTTCGAAAATAGGACTTCATGTTAGAGATGCGATCCGCGGATATCCGTCATCCGTTCATCCGTCATTTATCTCAAAAAATCAATCCGTCATCCGTTAAT